CCCACATTTGTCCAGACAATTGTGTAGCTTCCCTGCTGCAAAATGTCAAAAAATAGCTTTCTAGCAGCTAAAGCAAGCTAAATAGAGGAGACAACGGCAAGGATTTTGGAAGACGCATCTTTCCTTCCGTTTTCATTGCAAATTCTTTAGGAAAGGGAGCATGGCATTCACACCCTGAGAATGTGCAGGTGGAAAATATCTTGGGTGAAAGTTGCCCTAAAATGATGAAGAAGGAGAACAACAGAAGGACACAGGACTTCAGGAAAGCAGACTTTAACAAACTCAGGAACCCAATGGACAGGATCCACTGGGAGGCAAGTCTGAAGGGAAAAGGAGTCCAGGAGAGCTGGCTGTACTTTAAGGAGACCCTCTTAAGGGTCCAGGGGTAAGCTATCCTGATACAACAGAAGAATGGGAAGTTGACCTGCCTGGTTAGACAGCAAGCTCTTCAGTACACTGATACTCAAACAAGGATCCAATAAAAATTGGAATAGAGTAGATATAATAATAGAGTATAAGAGAACTGAATGGGCATGCAAGGAGAAAATTAGGAAGGCCAGGGAATAATCTGGTCACGGACATAAAAAGCAATGAGAAAGGTTTCTACAAGTATGTCAAAAAGAAGAAGACCAGGGAAACCACAGGTCCCTTATGAAATGCAGAAGACAGTCTAGTTCGGGATGATGCAAAGGAGGCTGCAGTATTAAAAAGCTACTTTTTTACTTTAGCCTTCACAAACAGGGGCAGCTACCAGATGACAAGTACAGTTGGTAGCAGAGATAGGGAAGGAGACAAACAGCACGTAGTGAAGAACAAGGGGATCAGGAACAGCCAGTGTGGACTCACCAAGATAAGTCACGCCTGATCAACCTGATTGCCTTTTGTAATAAATTGACAGGTTCTGTGGATGAGGAAGAGCAGTGGATGTGACATAACTTGACTTTAGCAAGGTCTGAGGTCTTGAATCTTGAGGATCTTGAACTCATCAAGAAGCTAAGAAAATACAGACTAGACCAGCGGTTCCCAATCTGTGGTACGCATACCACCAGTGGTATGCAGACAACTTATCAGTGGTACATGTTAACAGGGCCCTGATTTTGAAGCCCAGGAGTTTTTCAAACCATGAAGCTCCACAGCAAACCACCTCCCAGCCCCACCTCTTGCACAGCCTCGGAGAAGAGGAGCTCCATGGTCCCTCCCATACTGCCAGGGCGGTTCAGTCCCACCGGGATTTGGGGTGTGCAAATGGGGGTCCCCGGAAAGCAGCATCTGCAGAGACCTTCCTAAGCTGCATTGGGCCAGTACTAAATGTCACAGGCAGCTGCAGGAATGGGAAAGGGCAGAGCCCGGGAGAAGCTGAACAGATGTTGGGATCGACCAGGGCCAGGGCTGTCTTCTCCCTGGACATGGGGTGGGGAAAGGAGAGGGGAACGGCAGATGGTGCCAGGTCTGAGTGAGGCTCATGGGACCTGCCTCAGTTCCCAGTGCTGTCCAGAGCTCCCCAAGTGCCTCAGTTTGCTTCACCCTGAGATGCTGCCTTTTCTGTTCCTCTGCCTCACATATGGGCTGTGGGACTCGGCAGTCAGACCCACTGAAGACATCCCCAAAAGCATCTCTGGATGGGTAAGTTTACACTGCCTTTTTTCCAATTTACAGTTGTTTTATGTGGCTACCGTAACTGATAAAACAATGTTTTACGATTGCAAAAGGTTTGGATGTTGGTTTAATACGTAGTCTGTCACCTATGTGTGTGAAACATTTGCTGGTGGTACTTAAGGTTGCATCTTTTTTTAATTGCCGGTGGGCGATGTCAGAGTTTGGGAACCGCTGAACTAAAACAATGACTCTCAACCTGGGGGACAGCATCCTGAGGTGCCATCAGATCCTTGCAAGGGTGCTGGGGGGGTGTTGAGGAGATAAGTGAAGGGTAAGGAGATAAGCAGATAAGCTAAACAGATAAATGCAGTCTCTACCTGAATGATCCTCCACCCCGCTGCCCAACCCCTCTGCAAGTAGGTAAGCACTGTAATATATATATTATGTTTTGAAACTAGGTGCTGCTCGATTCATAAACGTTATGGAGAGGTGCCTTGAGTCCACTGAAGTTTAGAAGTACTGGGCTAGACCACTGTAAGATGGATAAATAACTGGTTGGATCATCATGCTTAATAAGCAGTCTTCAATGACTTAATGTCTAATTGGCAGAAGATGTCAAGTGGGGCTCTCTAGCAGTCTCTCCCAGGTCCAGTATTATCTAATATTATAATTATATAAGTATGTAAAGGGTGTGCATCAGGATCTGGGGGAACATCTGTTCACCAGAGCGCCCCAAGGGATAACAAGGGCCAACGGTCATAAACTCCTCCATGACTGTTTTAGGCTGGACATAAGGAAAAACTTCTTTACTGTCCAAGCCCCCAAGGTCTGGAATAGACTCCCTCCAGAAGTGGTGCAGGCACCCACTCTGGGCTCATTCAGGAAGCATTTGGATGCTTATCTTGCTGGGATCCTTTGACCCTAGCTGACTTCCTGCCCCTGGGGCAGGGGCTGGACTTGATGATCTTCAAGGTCTCTTCCAGCCCTAACGTCTATGAAATCTATGAATTAATTATTTGGATAATGGGATCACAAACACACTTAGCAAATTTGCAGATGACACTGAGCTGCATGGAGCTGCAGACACTCTGGAGGGCAGGGCTAGGATCCACAATTACCTTGACAGACTGGAGAAATTGTCTGTAATTATTAGATGAGACTCAACGAGGACAAGTGCAAAGTCCTGCACTTGGGACATAATAATAGCATGCACAAATGCAGACTAGGGAATGAGTGGCTAGGCTGCAGTACTGGTGAGCCTCATCTGGAGTACTATGTCCAGTTTTGGGTCCCACACTTCAAGAAGGATGCGGACAGTTTAGAAACTGCCTAGCCCAGAACAACAAAAATGATTAGGGGCCTGGGAGTCATGACTTATAAGGAATGGCTCAAAGAAATATGGTTATTTAGTCTGGAAAAGAGAAGACTGAGGGGGATTTGATAAGAGTCTTCAGAAATACCTAAAGGGATATTACAGAGAGGATGGAGATGAGCTTTTCTCTGTGGCTGTAAGGGACAAAACTAGGCGCATTGTCCTCAAGCTGCGGCAGGGAAAACTTAGGTTGGAGATTAGGAGGAACTTTCTGACTATGAGGATGGCCAAGCACTGGAAGTTTTCAAGAGCAGAGTTGAGAAGACAGACACTTGGCTGGGATGGTTTAGTCATGGATGATCCTGCCTTGAGCAGGAGGATGGACAACATGAATCTGTGAGATCCCTTCCGGCTCTATTTTCTATCATCCTATGATTCTTTCTCCACTTACAGTGCCAACACGATGTCATTGGCCAGTCCAGTATTCAAAACTGCTTCATTAGAATGACAAGGGCATAGGGCCAGCCTCTTTATCCAGTGGAAAGCAATGTTGGTCAAGTAATGAGTCTTAGCTAATTTAAGAATAGTGACTACTGCATCTATATAGGAGCTTGGACTAGAAAACCCTTGAAGTTCCTTCCAACCCTGATTCTGTAATTTCAGTGAAGCTATGTTAATTCACAGCAGCTGAGGATCTGGACCATGACCTTTTTATTTCCCTGTTGGGTGTGTGAGACAACACATAGTGGCAAACAGGTCTCTAAAAAGGGTGCGATACAATACAAAGCAAATTGAATCAACTCATCCAGAAAGAAGCAATAACAGTTAAAAACAAAAAACAAAAAAAGCAACCCCAAAAGCAGGCGTGCCATTTAAAAGATCCACTGAGAAATCATTTGACCAGTGGGTTTTCCCATTGAGGGACCTAGCTTTGACAGTGTACAGCAGTGAATTATATAATACTTTCCCCCAGTCCCTCAAAAGTATCATTAACTCTTCTGTGTCACAGGCTAAATGGGATACAGAAAGAATAAAACAGTCCAACAATGGACTAGTTGGAGGGATTTCTGGCTGAGCACCTCCAGCGGTATCCTCATTCCTAGGACAACTCATGCTTCATGTGAATTTTTTTAATATACACATACACCAAAAAGAGTATTAAAGGATACCTTCTATATCTTCTATTCATGAAAACTGCCTTAGAAAGAGACACCTCATTAATAGAAAAACAAATGAAGAAAACAATTTGAGATTAGTATCCTGACAATGGCATGAAAAATGTTACCTTCATCAGCACAGGCCAGGTAAAATCTTAACAATAATACTTTGCTATTATACACCCTCTATCAACAGAGGATCTCAAAACACTTGTTAAGTGTAAGAATTATGCCAGTTTTTTATATCAGGAAACCAACACAGAAGCCACATTGAAAGCACTGATGCAACAAATCCTCTCATTATCCACGGAACAAATATGCCAGGTAACAGAAGTACATGATTCCCTTCCCAGCCCACACAGACACAACCCAACTAATTTGCCTTCCCTCTAAGCAGTGTTTGATGATGAACAACTACTTTGTATTCTACACGCCCCAAACTGGATCATTAACAGAGTTGGTATATTCCTGGGGTGGGGCAGGAAAACTCAGGTTTGTTACCATTGAGCTACCTGAAATGAAATGCAAGTTTATTTGCAGGCTCAGCTTTTACATCTTGATATCAGGTCATATTGCCACTCATGTTACTGATATGCATCGTCGCATAGTTTGTGCACCGGGAGTACACGTCTGATTTGCAAGCTTTGCTGCCTCCCTTTCAACATCATTAGCTTAAAACACTCTGCAAAACAGGCACCACTTGAGTAATGATATCATACACAGTACTTCACAAAGCATTGGAGTGCTGGTGTCAAGTTTGAGAGAATGGGCTGGGATCCTAATATACAATGCTACCATCATCTGGAAATATTTAGCATTCAGACATAGAACTGAGACCGCTTTCTCTCTTCAGATAAGACATACTTGTGTTGGGTTGGACTTGGTCCTCTACTGATTAGGAACCAGGTAGCTCAGTTTTATCGTAAAACACTTACTTTTGGGCATGTCCATAGGGCTCAGGGTGGCGACCAGATCTCTGGTGAACTGTCGGTCTCCCTCATCCTTGCTCAGCCAGTTGTTGCAAGGAAAGTAAAACCGGAGGTGGGGTCTGTTCATGTCAGTCACTATCACACGGTCAAGGAACCAGCTTGCATTCATTCCGGTGTTGTCATGCTCAATTCTATGGCACAAAGGAGGAACAAAATGCATGGGCCGGTTGGGATGGGTTGGTTTGATTCTGACAGGTTCTGGCACATAAAATATATCACAAGGACCAACACGAGGCAACATTAAGAGTAAATGAACTTATTGCAATGACCTATGTACTTAAATCTCACACTTCATGGCCCTGTATTTGTTGTTTAATGATGTCACAACCTCCCATTTAAGAAAAAGGTGCCTGTCTGCATGCATGTGCGTGCGTGCGTGCGTGTGTGTGTGTGTATGTGTGTGTGTGTGTGTGAACATATGCACATCTGTTCATAAAAAAATACGTAGATATTCACATACACACATACAAATCCATATCTAAATATACACCCACCCCTACAACCCTCCATCCACACACACACACACACAGAGGTTCACAGAAAAATGTAATCATATATATAAACAATTATATTATCTACATAATTAGCACCCATGTTATTCCTTCCCCTTTTATGCTGCCTCGTTCACCTCTCTCATTTTCTTACTTTGTCTACATCAATCTCTGTTTCTTCCACTTCATTTCTTATTCTTTTTCCCCCCTAACGTTTAATTTCATTCAGATCATTCTGGCATTGATTAAACATAGTTATTATGATAGCTGTTATTTGTGTTACAGCAAGTCATACACCAAACCCAATTACTTCACTGAGACAAAAGCTACAGGTGTAAGTAGGCCCCCTGGCACATGTTTTATCACGTTAATGTGTTAGTTGCACCATAAATAGTAACATGCTACATGTGCGGTTGATTTATAGTGCTACAAAGATGTTCCACAATATATGATAAAAATAAGCTGTCAAGAAGCAGGTTACGGGTTCCACAGCGGAGCAGAGCTGAGGAGCAATCCCATGGGGAACCTGGCAATCCCCGTTCCCATTCGCCTTCCCTGCCTTGTTCTTTAATCCCCGCAGGGGCTGTGGGGCAAGATATTTAATCCCAGGGCCCCTACATGCCATGGATGTCTAAAAACTACACTTGCAGCTCAACTACACACATGGATTTTCAAAGGTCCCAGCATGCCAAGACCCTGGGATCAGGGAGAGGCCTCCTAATCCCTGGGTCCCCGTGCGCCAGGACATCAGAAAAATGCACATGCAACTGGGCTGCACACATGGCTTTAAATGTCCTGGATCACTGGGATCTATAAAAACTGAGTGTGCAGCCCCCAGCTCTTCACATGGCTTTTAAAGTTTCGCCAGGACCAAGGGAGCCTGTGGGTTCGTAGGTGCCAAGTGGGTGTCAATCGACTCCCCACAGTCAGCACTTGCAAATCTGCGCCCAGGGTCTCTGCTGGCAGTGGCACAATTGGAGGCTGATCCTCAGTCCCAACCATCATGCCTGCTCAGTACGAGATAAGCATCTTGCTATACTAGGCATGTCTACATGAGACGTTCACTGCAGAGCTGCCTAATTAGCTCCACAGTAAATTTTCAGTTGTCTGCACGTGTGGCCTTATTAGGTTACACTAAACTAGGATAGTACTTGTCGACACAAGTTCTTTATTCATCAGCAATGCACGTGTAGATGCTGACGGGGCTGGCTGGGGCATGAGGGTGCTTCAGAGTGGGGCCTGTCTGCCCGCTAGCCCTGCACTGGAGCACCCTCGTGCCCTAGGCGGCCCCTCTGCAGCACGCTGAGCCAGGTCGGAGCAGCCCTGGGCTGGCAGGCTGATGCCCAGGGCCCCCTGCAAGCTGGGGCTGCTCCAATCCAGCTCAGTATGCTGTGGTCCTGGGCGCACACGCAAAAAGCAATGCCTGGGAGCAATAAATTCCAGTGTGAAATGTGCCGGAGTTTATTTCCTCACATTAACTGCATGTGTAGATGCGCCTACTGTGTCTAGAGACAGTCGTGTTAGGTTCATACCTTATTTTCTTTATTTGTCCAACATTGTAGGTTTTGATTCGGAACACATCTGTTTTGGTCCTCTCAAAAGCACTTCTACTCCTGCAAATACATACATCAAAGGCCATATTAAGCAGATAGTAATTGTGTCAGCAAACGCACTGTCAGAGATCCACTGAGGATCAGGGTTTAATAATGAAGAATTATCATTGTCTGCCATTGAGCTAACCTGCTTTTCAATGTCTTCATTCCTGTTAAAAGCTCTGAACAGTCAAATGTCCTGGGATTAAAAACCAACTGATCCTTTTTCCACTCTCACATTTTGACAGGTCTGACAGCCTTTCCCCAGCAACTGGTATACGGACTTTGGAAGAAATGCAATGTTAGCCCAAGTGGATGCAAACCTTGGGTCACGTTCCATATCTTCCCCACTGCCCTCCCTCCCTGCCTCAAAAAAAAAAAAACACAAAAAAAAACCCAAACCAAAAATCCACTTTTTATCAATTAATGAAGAGCTGCAGTACTGAGGGATGTTTTGCAAATGGCTTTTGGAAATAACAAAAAATAATTTCCTCAGGCACCACTTAGACATAACATTGAAGATGTTTTTTTTAATATTTTTTTGGACATTTCCTCTTCTCCTGTTCTTGAATTCACCTAAAACTACCTGAACAGATGTAGAATCCACTATATTGTTGATGCTGGGGCATGGCTCTTCCTTCCCTCGCCCTTTGGGTAGTCATTTATGCAACATGCAAATTCTGACTGTTAAAGCATCTCACTGGACCCCAGCCTTGCTGCTCTACAAGGTAGGCAACACTGGTGAACCCGGTCCTTTGTACCTCCTTGTCGGCTGCCTTGTAGAAGCTCGACCCATTTCTCTGTTCCACCGTGGCAGAGGATTGCTCCTTGTTTGAAAGGTTTCCTCTGCTTTTCTCAACACGTCTCCTACATCAGAACAAGAATGGAGCAAGGAGTGTGTTTTGAATAAACCCCATGGTCCAAAACTACTTTGGCAGATGGTGCTATTCTGGAACTCAGGTGGGAATAAGAGAGGATGCAAGTGGAAGATGGAAGTCTTGCCACCTACTTCTTCTGACATAAAAAGACTTTAAAGAAGTAACCACTGCTACTTGGCCATTAGGAGGAACTTGGACATTAGGAGGAACTTCTTCACAGTTAGAGTGGCCAAGGTCTGGAACGGGCTCCCAAGGGAGGTGGTGCTCTCCCCTACCCTGGGGGTCTTCAAGAGGAGGTTAGATGAGTATCTAGCTGGGGTCATCTAGACCCAGCCCTCTTTCCTGCCTATGCAGGGGGTCGGACTCGATGATCTATTGAGGTCCCTTCTGACCCTAGCATCTATGAATCTATGAATTCCTGCACCACCTTCCTGTCCCATACAGGAGTCTGAATTAGTCTGTAGGACACGTCATTTCTAAAATATTAGGTACCCTTAGCATTTTGTAGGTATATGTAGAATACAGCAGGCGTGTCTACACGCTCATTAATGTGATGTCATTATGGTGCATTAAGTTTAATACCTGTAATGACAGGTACTAACATAATGAGCCGTAATCCATGCTACTGCGCATTAGCACAGATGAAAGTTGGGGGGGGTTTGTGACGCTACTGCACATTAGACTAAATCTACTGCACATTAGCACAGGCTTTGCCCGCCATGCTGAAGTTCAGTAGAAATAGTCTTCTGCACATTAAGCATCTTGTGTAGACGTGCCCAGTATAATCCAGTGTGTAAGATACTGGTGTAGGAGTCAGAGGCTCTGGGTTCTGTTCCCGGTTCTCTTCCCAATTCTGCCATGGCATGTCTTTGGCCAAATCCACTCATCCTTCTGAGCTTGTTTCCCTCATCCACACTTCAACTTCCAGGCAAGATTTCTCTCTTATGTCTTGGCATGGCAAAGGTGAGACCCGGTCTCTACCAGGACTTGCAGACACTAACACAAATAAGAGTATACAGAAAACAGAAGTCATATTTCAAAAATAAGAAGCCACCACATTGGAGCACAGCCATGCTGCAGCAACAAGCAGCTCAAATAGTAATAATGTGAGCACCAGTGTCCAGCTTTGCTCAGATCTGTTTTCTGCGCGTTTGCGATATGCTCCTGCCTTTGTTTCAAGCTCGTCTTTTTGTATTGTGCAAATACACGTGTAGCTTTCACCCTGAGAAGCAACACTGCTCATACTGTGCTAGAACAATTGTTACTACATAAAGAGGCTAAAACAGTTAACCTTGTCAGAAAGCTTTGGCAAGAAGCAATTAAATCCAGTCAAGCTTTCCTCATCCGCAACTTGGCTGTCAAACTAAAAACAGTGAGCAAGTGCAAGGCAATTAGTTTGCCAAGCTTGAGTGAACATTGTAATGACAGTGGTTTCTCCCTGCTTTTACCCTGGAGATCAGTGCACCATTGCAGATTATCCAAAGTACTACAGGGATGATGTAGAAGTATTAACGGCAGCTAATTATCCAAAAGCTTTTAGTACACTAATTTTGTGTGCTGCTGGTTTATGGCACTCACATGATAATTCTAAGTGTTTGAATACTGTATTAAGTTTACGTGTGGTTTCGATTTCTAGCATTATGTTCGTAACACTGGCACGACGCGGTGGTTTCAAGACACAGAGAGAAAACTCAATAATCAAACAGCAAAGAGCGCATGTCTGCAATCACTGCCTTGAACAACTGCAGTGTGTGTCCATTACGGGTCTTGAACGAGTGAGTTTGGGAAAGGATTTGCAATTGTGTCTGCAGCCCAGGAGGCAAACTTTTGGAGAGTGTCCTTGGCAAGCTGCGGGCAAAACTGAACGAGCATGAAAAGTCTTGGACTGCATATGCGACAGCAAAGGGGAAAATCTGCATGGTTTGGGGGAAAAAACCCAAGTTCTTGTTATTGGTGTTGCTCAAATACAGCACAATCACAAGGGTAAAAAGAGATCCAACCAGTGAACTATTTACATAGGTTGCAACAAAAAAGGAAGAGGGGAATTACAGGTGGTCTGCTATAGATGCATTTAAACTAGAAAAATGTTGGACCTGTTATTATAAGGAGTTTGACATCAGGATAACAAGGGAACTGGAACTACCCAGCCTCTGATGATAAATAAAGCACAAAACACCTGAACTAGAAACTCCAGCTGTACCTTGCTAAGACCCAAAGCTTAAAACATAGTGAAGTTTTAGATATGCCTACCGGTTAGCATCTGACATGGTAACTTGCATAATTTCTCTTGAAATGTTAATTCTTATCTTGAATTAAGAGGAGCTAATAGGATTAGGTTTCGAGTCATGTCATTTATATGTTGCATTTCTGGCAATGGTTTGTCATATATGTAATACAGTGCATTTCTGTAGGTAGCAGGCTATACAATCTAGAGCTAAGTGGATAAGTCACCACAAATAATATATTCACCAAATATATTTGGTGAGGCTTTAGGATCATAAGGAAATCTTAGGAACCGTTTGCAAAAAGTGGTAGGTTTAAGAATAGAGCCTAACAAGTCTTTAGCGTTAATGAAATAAACTGAATGAAGGTGTCTCTGAAGGGAAAGCACAAACCAGTATAATTATCATTTTGGCAATATTTATGGGGCGTGTTACCTGGCAATGCAAGCTGCACATTGAAATTCCTGAACCATATGGCATGCCCACACTGAACAATCTGTAAAGGTATTTGGAGATCATGTCTGAAAGGTCACAAGCAAGTGCAGTAAAAACATTAATTTGGGGGAGATTAAAAAGATGCTCCGTTAGGATTATGTTTGAGACATTATTGTTTTAGTGGTACATCTATTTCACATGGATTTTAGTATTTTTATTGTTGCTACTGATGTGTTAAAAGACCCTGAAACTGAAGCTAGAAAATCCTGGGTCTAGTAAGACTGATCACAGTGAAGGCCAGGGGGGGAAAAGTGCTCCTTAAATCATTTGTTAGCTAACACACAGTGAAATCCTAATGAGGACAAGGCAGGTGTCGTTTTCTCACATGTTGGCTGATACAGGTAAGCACTGTGCTTCCTCCAATTGCAATATATGATTGTTACTATGACTTAGCTAATAGCTAGCTAAAAAAACCCAACCCTTTTCCCCCCAACACAATTTTCTGCTTGCAGCCTACAGTGCTGTCATTAATATGCTTCTGTGAGGGATAAATAACCCAGACAAATTGGCCTTCAGATCTTCTGCCAAGCTTGTTGTCATTCTGCTGACAAAATCACGACAAATCAGAAATCTGCTGAAAGTACTGCAGAAGGCAGAGACGCGTCGGAAAATACTCCAGATGGGAAAATTACCAGCTGAAAAGCACACCAACTGCAAGCGTTCATGAAACAAGGACATTATATTCCCTTTGCTCTGAGTAATCTGCTATCAGATGGCAAGGTCCTGGCAAATTGGTTAAACAAAGCATAAAAACACCGGTGCCTGTCTCTTGCACAGTGATGTAATGGGCACACTCAATTGCTTGCAATTCCTTGCAGTTAAGCTGGGTGAGTCCATAGAAAGAAGATGGCTACCAGTAATCAGTAATAATCATGATAGCTCAGCACTAGGCCAAATCTCTGACAGCTCAAATACTGTCTTATCACCAGCAATGGACTCGCTAAGGATCAGTTTAAAAAGCCAGTTCAACTCTTGAAGCTGTCCTAGAAGAACAAACGCAAGAATTCAGCCCTAAATCCAGCTGCAAAATAGATCTTAGAAATGGTTGCAGCAGTTGACAGGTGCTAAAAGGGAATGGCAGGGCCTACGGGCCAAAGAAACAGTGCCACCAGGTCAAATTGCCATCTGGCTGCAGGTATGAGCTGGCACACAAAAGTGCGATTCATTTACACCTAAGCTGTCCAAGGCAGTAGTCACCAACTGGTAGATCACGATCAACTGGTCGATCGCGGAGCCTCTAATGGTCATTCTCAGTCTGGGGGGCCTGAGTGTGGGCGCGCACACGCGTAGCATTACCATACATCCAGGTTTTCCCAGACATGTCCTCTTTTTTGGCCCCCTGTTGTTGTGTCCGGGTGGGTTTTTGAAATACTAGCAAATGTCGGGGTTTTTGCTTTGCCTCTGCTTTCCCAGGCTAGCTGCTTGG